GTTCCTGATGTGGCCAATTATCGCCTCTTCCCTGGTGAACCCAAATGGAAAAAAAATATTTTGACGTACAGGTAATGAGATCAAGTCTTTCCAAATTCAGAGAAAAAACAGCCCCTCTCTCTTTTTCCCTTTTCTTGAAAAAAATCTTCCTTCTCATCTGTATAAAAATCCTGACGCCTCACAACCGCAAGAAAGAATAAGAACTGTTTAGGTCCATCTGTCAGGCAATGACAATGGGCAATTCACCAGAAAGTATGGTCTTAGGATTATCATAATGACTGGCTATTTTAGGCATTTCAAACAATTTCATCAGTTAGAAACAACACAACTATCTTTAATCTAGTCTAGGATTAATGTCCTGGCAGTAAAAACCAGTTTTCTTAAAACAACCTGCTTAATAAGAAAGAAAAAAATAACTTACTAATAAAGTAATTTATTTCATTGACTCCAAAAATCTTTTATTAATGATTCAAAAAATGCATTCCATTTGAGGGACATAAAGGTGAACAGGTCAACTTTGTTGACCTTAGGGAACTCACAGTCCTTTAAGGAGAGACAGACATGCAAACAGAGAGCTGTAGCTCTGTGTGAAACGTGCAAAATCATAGCTCTAAGCAGTGAACCGTGGGACCACAGTTCACATGGAGAGAGCTAGCAAGTGGCCCAGGGACCAGGCAGTGACATTTGAGCCTGATTCAAAGGCAAAGTAGAAGTAGTTCCACTCTTAGCCCCAAGCTCCCCTCACTCCCTCCCTGCCCTCTTTCTTCCCCCAACTAATCCTCTGACTTCATCCTGTGTAAACCAAGGGAACACACCCAACCAGAACCTCTGTCCCTCCCTGCAGTGCTCAGGGTACAGAGGCCGGAATTCCCTCTCCCAGAGCCAGACTTGATTCTGGGGCCAGCGCAGACTTCCTCCCCAGGTTGGTACAACCAAGGGCAAATTATGCATGGTACCTGCCCTTCAGCCTGAGGTAGGGGTGGATGGTGCCTGCCTGCGTGGGCCTCACGCATGCCAGATGGGTGCAGGTCAGAAAAGAAGAGTGGCCTCCACTCTTTGTGGTCCTGCCCCAGGCCTTGCACATGTAAGGAATTTTCTAAGAAGAAAACCAGACCAAGCATATAGCAGCAGAGAGTGGACAGACTGGCATGTTGATGGGCAGCATTCCCACCACCAGTGCCTAGGGCATGCGGCTGTGGCAGAGGGTCCAGGAAGGGCAATGGCAGGAAATAAGCTGGAGGGGCAGCCTTAAGGGTAACTAGAGCGTGATGTTAAGGAGTTTGGACTTTATCTCCAGGGCAGTGGAGAGCTAGGACGGGGATCAGATTTCGCTTTTAGGATGAGCACGTCTAGATGATAACTGGAGATGGGGAAAGGCTGGCCTTGTGCAATAGTCCAAGCAGTGGTGTGCTAGAGCTGCCTCCTAATAGCTCACTGAAGCCAATCCTTAAAATGTCAGGAAGGTTGCAGCCACTTGTTAAGCTCCGAAGAATTTTGTGAGCTGGTTGCTAAGACAGCCATTGTTAAATTATGTAAATTTACAATTAAATAAATCACATTAAATTATATTAAATTAAATTACACTATATTAAACTATATTAAATAATTATATTATTTAATATTTATATTTATTATTAAAATATATTATTTTATAGTAATAAATAAAATATACTGTTTATTATTAATATAATTAAAATATATTATTTTATAATAATAAATAAAATATATTATTATATTTTATATTATTTAATATTTATAATTACTTAGTAAATTATATTAAATAATAATATTAAATAAAGTATATTAAAAACAAAGGTAATAAAAACATATTGCCTCTTATTTCACTACATTTTATTATTTTCTCTGCTCATGAGGCTATGTACATCTTTATAATCTGGGTGGCTCATTCATGCTCATCTCTTCACAACCTGGCATTCAATGATGGTAAATGGGTAGCTTGAATTAGCCATAGTGAGAATATTTACAACACAGAAATCAGCAAGTCATACAAATCAAGGGGGTTTTTTTCCTCCTTGTAGAGCCACTTGTTAAACTGTTCCGGCACACCAGTGAGTCCATTTGATTAAATGAGGGGCCAGAACCCACGGAACAGTCATGAATCCCCTAGGCCATTTGTTACCTGCTATCAGCCAATAAATCCATAAGGTGGCAGGCTGAACAAAAACATCAAAGCAATTGGGGAAGAAAAACCTCATAGGGAACACAAAAGCGATTCTGAGATAGTAAGAATAAGGCAAGAAAAATGTATATGCGTCAACAGAGTCTTTTCATAGTTTTCTTAAACTGTGTTCCGGAATTTTAGTCCATGACTATGTACATACAACAAAGACGAGAAGCATGGGTCAAGATAATGTGATACTTAGGGAAGTATAATATTCTTGCGATAAGGTGGGCAATCTTAAAACCCCTCAACACACACATTGTCCATCCACTCTTGCTCCCCAACAACTGCACCGTCCCCTCCCCATGAAAAAGGACACTAGACGCTATCACAGTACTCTGCCCGTGTAGCTACTGACTTTCAGAATAACTTCTTACAATATAACCCAAAGGGTTACAAAAAGGAAAAAAAAATACAGCATAGTGCTTATATGCATAAGCTTTGGAGTCAGACAGAACTGGGCTTAAACCTCATTAATCATAACATGTAGATGATGAAGACGATCTTCCTCTTACGGGTCGTAGTGAGGATTAAATGAATGCTGCTTAAAAAGTGTATGCAGCAACAGCACATAGTGTGACTTCAAAGAATATTAGCTAGTATTATTATTGCTTTATCAAGCTCCAGGCCCTGAGTCGGGGATTTTTCCATGTTCTCTTCTTCTCTGGTGCTATCCCTCTCTCCTTCCCTGTCTTCTCAGGCCAACACACACTGTCAGCTCAAAGATACGGCTGACTTATCAAAAATGCGAGGGCATGTCAAAGTAATAAGTCTACCTAGTTGTGATAAATTGCAGACTCATATTACACAGTGGGCTTGGCATATTTTGAAAGCATTAAATAGTCCCTTTGAGGGTCTTTCTGGTCTCCCCCTTCAATTCTATAGCTCTCTTCTTTTGGCCCCAACTCCTGGGGTTGAAGAGCTCCTTGTTCCTTCACTCTCAAGTCCTGAATTGAGCTAGTTGCTATCCTTTCTGTGGGCACAGTCCTTTCACTTGGGACCCCAGCATTATTGCTGTTGGTTTCTCATTGAAATTGCACCATCTGCATTATAATAACCTAGGATACCTTTCAAAACGCAGATTTCTGGACCATACCTGTATCTTTAACAAGCTTCCTAGGTAATTATCACAGGTCCTAAACTTTGAGAGCCACTGAGTGGGCCCTAAAACAGCTAGCTTTACTTATTTAATTCATTCATTTATTTATCAAGCAATTGCTAGGCATTTGCTATGTGCAAGGCACTAGACTAGGAGCTACAGAGATAGAGAAAGCAGGGCCGGTCCCTGCTCATGGGGTTGGCTCTCACAGACACAGCTTCTCACTTTCATCATATTCCAGCCCAGCCCAAGGTCTTGGGTAGAAGTCGCCCTTCCTACCTTTCCTTTGTATGTTGCCAGAAGTCCCCAGACCCTGGGCTTCAGAGCAGAAAGTTCTAACAATCACCAACTCTGACTCCACTCACAATCCAAAAAGCACTACATTTTTCTGCCTTCAGGTGTCATTGTCATACCAGTAATTGCTGAAAGTCTCACCCTTTTTTTCAGTTCCAGTGAGCCTCCATTTTTAAAGCTAGCCCTTCCTCTTTAAGAACGCATTATTTTGGGCTGGGGGGGCAGTGGCTCACACCTGTAATCTGAGCACTTTGGGAGGCCGAGGAGGGCGGATCACCTGAGGTCAGGAGTTCGAGACCAGCCTGGCCAACATGGTGAAACCCTGTCTCTACCAAAAATACAAAAATTAACCTGGCATGGTGGTGGGCACCTATAGTCCCAGCTACTCAGGAGGCTGAGGCAGGAGAAGCAATTGAACCTGGGAGACAGTGGTTGCAGTGAGCAGAGATCATGCCATTGCACTCCAGCCTGGGTGACAAGAGCAAAACTCCGTCTCAAACAAAAAAAAGAGAGAGAGAGAGAGAGAGAAAAGAAGAAGAAGAAAAAAAGAATGCATTATTCTGAGGGAAAAAACCTTGCCAACAGCCCTGGGGAAATCCTGATGAGCTCTGAATAAGAATTAGCAAAACTTCAAAACTCTACATTTCTATTTTTCATATTGAAAACATCCAGTCCCTTTGGGGAAAAAGAGGTCCTCTCTCAATGAAAACGACTTTAAGAAAAATTGACTACTTACTACCTGTGACATTTCACAAGTTTTATTTATTTATTTATTTATTTTTGAGCAAAGTCTCACTCTGTCACCCAGGCTGGAGTGCAATCACCGGATCTCAGCTCACTGCAACCTCCACTTCCCGGGTTCAAATGATTCTCCTGCCTCAGCCTCCCGAGTAGCTGGAACTACAGGTTTGCACCACCACGCCCAACTAATTTTTGTATTTTTAGTAGAGACGGAGTTTCACCATCTTGGCCAGGATGATCTCGAACTCTTGACCTCAAGTGATCCTCCCGCCTCAGCTTTCCAAAGTGCTGGGATTACAGACGTGAGCCACTGTGCCTGGCCACAAATTTTATTCTTTTAAGTCGGAGGTAGTATAATAACAAAGAAAGTTAAACGGTTTCAGTACCAGATTATCCCAACTTCTCTCATCTCTCCCTTTCATTTGTCTTGTTTCACATAAAGCAATTTAACATATAATAAAGCAAAACAAGAATTATCACTTCAGAGAAAAAATCTAAATTGTAGATTTATATTTAACAATTTTTGAATACAACATATAATTCTTGTCTTCTTTGGAGCAGTTACTGAAAAGAAAACATGTTTCTTCCGTTTTCACAGAGTATCTAAATACACAACCTCCATGAGTTCTGCCGAGGTGGAAAAAGCAGTGCAGATGGCCTTGCAGGCCTGGAGTAGCGCCGTCCCTCTGAGCTTTGTCAGAATAAACTCAGGAGAAGCGGATATTATGATATCTTTTGAAAATGGAGGTATTGTGGTACTTGGATTCCATCTACTAATTCAAAGGAGAGTTGTCCCAATACTGTTCCTTCTACATCTTTAATTCGAGTGATCACACACTTCTCCTTCACACCGTACTGTGATGGGCCAAGGCCAAGACCATGACAAAGCCATGATCTTCCTCTGGCCGGAAAATAGAATCAAGAAAATAGGAATTCTTAGCATGTCTTGTCATCATCAGATACAGCTGTAGAGTAGATTCACTGTAACAAACTTTCATTATGACTTTGCCCTACTAGGGGACAAATTCTTGCAGATTTTGCTTTCCCGTTAGCCACATGACCTCATCCATTCCCATGATGGTGTTTATCACTTATATACCCCCCTCCATATTAGCCAAGAATATCCCACCATGAATCCTCACTGAAGGAAATACCTTCCACAGTGACCTTGATACAGCCTTCCCCCTGCAGCAATGGTTAGGAAAGTGTCGTTCCTGTCTTGCTCACACTTGCAGACCACCTTTTGGGAGATGTGTGAGAGGTCTGCCTCCAACTTTCCCACTTCTTCTCCATTCCATTGCTCACCCTGGTAAGGAGTAGAGGCGTAAGTTTGCACAGGGATTGGTGAGAGCTCTGATTCCTTTTCAGAGAAGCAAGTCTAGGAAATAGATAAAGGGAGGGCCAAATGGCTTATGAAATTTCTTTTCCTTCTCAGCTTCGTAATAGTCAGGGTAAGTGAGAGCTACTATCTATTCCCCTCCTCAGATAAGATTTCTAATTTGAATCTGATGTCACTGGGGGGAAAGCATGCTTAGGAGCTAGGAGAGAGAAGATCAAGCAAGTTCTGAGAATAGAGCCTTTAGAAATGGTCCTGGGTGTAACCTGGCCCAGGGCAGGTCCTATTCCTCCCAAAGGACAAAGGCCACCCCTGGTGAAGTGGCAGGGAGGGCAGTGTGACTTGGGGTAGCTTTGAAGGCCAAGGAATGAATGTCTGGCTCTCTCTTGATCTTTCAAGCTTGCAGTCTATCCCCTAATACACAAGCCAACACAGGGACTGTGCTAGTCTACTTAGTTGTGATGCCATTGCATGAAGTCCTCTGTGCATGCACCTGAGTAGACTGCATGTCACTGAAACCTGAGAAATGGCATACCAGAACTTTGTTCTGTTGGCTCAAAAAAAAAAAAAAAAGAAAAGAAAAAACAACTAACTAAAACTGGGTATCCTTACTAAGGTTTTTTAAAGTGGTAAACTATAACCCTCATTTTGTTCTTCCTCCTCCTCTTCTATTAAATTTGTAATGAATTGTTAATTAAAATAAATAATTAAACAAAAACATAAAAAAGCTTCAAAAGTTAGGATTTTATAAATGCCTTTATGACTTTCATAAGTTTTCCACATGAAAGTATGTCAAAATTACAGATAAATTTTTGACACTTTCTTAAACTGTATTGTGCTATAGAAACAAAAAACACACACTTGTCCAATTCACTATCACTATCTCAGCTGAATCAAATTTGAAAGGTCATTCTGCCAACAGGTTCACATTTCAATCAGTGGAGTAGGTTTTTCCATCCAATGCCCCCCGGTTAGTTCTCCTTTTGTAATCCATGGCATGTGCAAAGTCCACAGTATCCTATGTGTCAGTTAACAGATGTTGTGATAGCAACAATAACCCAAAAAAGGTATTTTTTAATTATTATTTTTAATGCTTACTATCTTTGCAGTATGAATTAGCCTCTTTTATTTTTCAATGGGCAGTTACTCATTGACAAGTGAACTTCCTATTATAACAAATAAATACTGAAAAGTAAATTGAAGTGTCAATGCTATTCAAAATGTCCATTTTCTGTAATATGATGTGCCCTCAAAATTGCTAGAAGGACTCAATCCTGTTGGCCTTTCTCCCCACTTGTTTAGATCATGGGGATTCCTATCCATTCGATGGGCCTCGGGGGACTCTAGCCCATGCATTTGCTCCTGGAGAAGGCCTGGGAGGAGATACACATTTCGACAATGCTGAGAAGTGGACTATGGGAACGAATGGTATATATGCACAATTCACCATAACCTGGAAAATATTGTACCTTCTTCTGGGCTCCATCATGAAACCTTGAGGTTCAACGTCCCAAGCCACCCTTTAACTAGGGGGGCTGGCTAGGAAAAACAAGTAAGCCAAAAATCCAAAAGGGATCACATAAGGGAAAAAAATCCACCCCAAATTGTGTTGTAGACTTGTCTGATCTGTTTCATAGCATATCATCTGAAGAAATGGTCATCCCCTTCTCAACGCACTGCTCTCGTTTCCTTCAACAACCTAGTATTTATGATTTCTTACTTGTTCTTGGAAATAGGCTACATTCAGAAATGACCCAAGAGAATCAGTACTGTCCTGAGAAGTGTGATGGGGATGGGAATAAAGGTTCCAGAATATCATACAGGTCATCTGGAAATCTTCAGTGTGAAACATGTGGATCAAAAGGTGTAGGCTGTAATAGCAGGGAACTATTAAGGCATTTGTGGTCTAAATTTATGAATTATTCCCAAATATCATTGCCACTATTTGCTCCAAGGCTCTCCTTTATCAGTCTACCAAACATCACTGATGATGAGCAAAATGGATTGATGTGCATTTCCATCCTTCCCCACCTCCAACCCCCTTCTAGCCAAGAGGGGGAAAATTTAAGTCACCAAAGCTAAGTGCCAGAATAACTTACCAAAATTTGAATAATCCAGTTAGGAAAAGGAGATGAGTTAACTGTGATGTGGGCATAAATTATCCTATAAAGATGGAAGATGGAGAAAACAAAAACCTGTGGTGATACTGTTTTTTTCTCTCTCATATTGTCTAGGTTTTAATTTGTTTACCGTTGCTGCTCATGAATTTGGTCATGCCCTGGGCCTGGCCCATTCCACAGACCCATCAGCACTGATGTACCCAACTTATAAGTACCAGAATCCCTATGGATTCCACCTCCCCAAAGATGATGTGAAAGGGATCCAGGCATTATACGGTAAGATTATTACCTTCTTTGACCACTAACCCTGAAATTGCAGGCATTCAGTCTCCAACTTAAAGAAAGTGCATTTTATCTGCATTGGTAAAGATCAATCTAGAAACCATAGCCCCAACTATGCCTTCTTGTGAAGAGCTCATTTGCCAGTTATAAATGTGTGTGTGATGTGTGATTAAATTTTACACCTTTCCTTAAGAGCATATTAGTCCTGGATAGCCTTAAAAAATATAGTCATTTGTCTATTTGTGTTTTTCCTTTGAGTGCAGGTTAGAATTTACACATTGGGAGAGGATGGATGTAGTTTATAGTTCATATACGTGGTGCTTACCCATTTGCAGATAAGTGACCTTATCTCCCTAAAAATAGCAATCATGATTAAAATAACTCCACGCCCAGCCATGTAGCCGATCTGCAGTTTACAAAACAGGTTCATGTGTGTAGTCTTACACCAGCCTCACAACTAACCTGTGGGGTGTGAAGTGTTTTCCTTGTTTGATAGCTGAGAAAGCTGAGGTTCAAAGGCAGTAAGTATCCTGAGATAAACTACCTCAAGTATTAGCATTCTTCTAAAAGGTAATGAGGGATTATTAGAAACTCTGTGTCCAATTTTCCTTAAGGGAAACAAACCAATTAATCCATCAGAAGGAATCTTGAAACATCCTTAGACCTTGACAATTTTTCTTTAATGGATAAAAGGCAAAAAGATCTAGGAAATTGCTTTTCCCTTGAGCCCTGGAGACCTGGTTATTAGGCTTCTGCTTATCAGAGCCTCTCCCCATCTTCTCAGTGCCTACAGACCCAGATCCCCCAGCACCTTCCTGGGGTGCTAGGAATCTGGCCCAGGGGATCTGGAAGGTGGGAAGCCCAGAAATGGGCACACCATTCAAAATCAGTCAGATTTCACCTGAGGCACAAAAGGCAAATTTCATCCCAAGAAGTCTTCAGCCAGCTCTATCCATTTCCAGGAGGGGGAAAGCACCAGATCTGCCTGACCCTTGAGGGACAGGAAAAACACCATGAATGTCACAAACTCAGCTCCAGAGTCTTGGTGGCAGTGCTCCAATGGGAAGCAATTTCTGTGGGCCACCGAGAAGGGCTGAGCTCAAACACTTGCCTTTAGAGGTCCTTGTGCTCTGGAAAGTCACTGCCTTCGGATGGCCACTGTCACTCGGCCAGGAGGCAAAGCACATATTTTGGCACAGCTATTATGACACAGGTGAATGAAATGTGAAAACATGGGTTTATGTTACAAGGGAGCATTCATATCACCCAGCCGATCGCTTGCCGCTGCTGACCCTCTCCAATTTCCAGCTTCCATCTTCTCCCAAAGCCTTACCCCGCCTCCAATCTTCACCTTGCTGCTAACCCTACTCTATCCCTGATATCAAACCTCATCTGACCCTTATCAGAGGCCTGAACCTTTCCCTTCCCTGTGCCTCATTCCTTCCCTGACTCTCACCTGTGGTTATGACGAGGCCTCATCAAAGAGCAGGGACCCACCAGAGGCGACAGTCCAAGCTGTGCAGATTCATTCTTCTGGAGCTGGGGCAAGGTCCTCAGAGATGCAGAGCAGGAGGGGAGACTCACTGACAGCTCTCGCAAGATTTGGGTCCATGTTTTCCAAGACGATCCACCAGAAGATACCTTTAAGTAACAAACACTTTCAGTGTACTTCAATTCCACAAGAATTCGCTCCGTTTTTCCTGGATGCCTAGTAAAAGACAAAAGCACAGGGCAGGATGCCAAGGAGTCTATGAAAATAATAGGAAAACACATAAGAAAATTTTCTTATTGAGAAAAAGAGAACTTAATTACAAAGAAATAATCCATGCCAATTTTTAAATTACATTTCTAATCTGGAACACTTGTAGATATCGAAGAAGTTCTATAATAAAATAATGATCTTTAGAAGACTTACTATGTGCCAAGCACTCTGCTACCTGCTTTACAGGAATTATTTAATTCTCACAACAGCCTTCTGAGGTGAGTACTATTTTCATCCCTCCCTTTTAACAAGTGAGGAAGCTGAGGTTTAAAAAGTTAAATAATGTGCGGCAAATCACACGGCTCAACAACCAGGAGAGCCAGGACTCAAACCCCGGTCTACCTGCCCTCAACAGCCATGGCCATGATCACATGTCCAGGGTGAAAGTGTACAACCTCCCCTGGGGCTCTATCTAGAACAGAAGTGTGTGAACTCCAAATTCCCGTTACCATTTTGACCAAGTCATTTTGAATCCTAGGACCTCGGAAACCATTCCTGGGGAAGCCCATGGTGCCCCATGCCCCCCCTCACAAGCCATCCACCCCCGACCTCTGTGACTCCAGCTCATCCTTTGACGCAGTGACAATGCTGGGGAAGGAGCTCCTGCTCTTCAAGGGCCGGTAAGCCTCAGACGCGCCAACGACTCTTGTTGGGCCTCATCTCCACTCCCAGATAAACGTCGTCCCACAGGTCCTTGTTGCTGCCGTGTATGAAGATCATGCAGAAATGCTGTCCTATGCAGCAGGAGGGTGGTAGGCAGGGGTCTTTGGGGGAGATAGAGAACTGCCAAAGCTACTGTTTGTGGTGCACCTACTGTGGTCTTGCTACTGTGCTAAGTGATTTCCATAAATGGACAATATTTATTCTAACCCTTTTCACTGTAGAGATTAGAATCCCTAATGTGCACATAAAGAAAGCAGATCAAAGAGAGAAAGTAAGTTTCCCAAGGTGACAGTTAAATGGCTGAGCTAGGACACCAGCCTGAATTGATCTGATGTCCGTTTTGTTTAACACTTTATCCCTAGTGAGTGTGCATAGCAAATGCTCAATAAATACTTGGTGAATGAGGGTTGGCTAGCTGGATGGATGGACAGATAGGAGATTGGATAAAAGGATGGATGGATGGGATGGATGATCAGATGGATAGATAGGTGGGTGGATAATTCCAAGGCCAATATTCTTCTGAAACTCCTCCTCTTCAATGCCTCTGGGCCTTTCACCCGTCAGGTAGCACAGAGAAGGCAGATCCCTATTCTCCCCCAACTCTGGCTTCTTGGGGAGTATGGCTGTTTTCTCCATGATGCTGGTTACTCTAATTACTTCTTCCCATGGAGGCAAAGAGAAACATAGCAACATTCACCCTATTCCTCCCTTTGCTGGAGACAGAATTCAATCACACCAGAATAGGCAGAGGCATCTCAGGAGCATTCATGTGCGGCGTTATTCCTTCTACTTCTTCACTATTGCAAAAGTGTTTATGGAGTCCATTGTGGTTTTCAAGCAGTGTAGTCTTTAGGGGTATAAAGATGGATTGATACCTGCCCCCCACCTTTACATACCCCTCAGGTATATGACTCCAAAAGCCCTGCAAGATAGTGAGACATGAGCTCTAAAAGTTAGGCCATGAAACAAAACAAGAAGCAAGTACCTGGGAAGATCTAGAGAGAGTTTCCCAAGGAGGTGACGTTTGAGAAATGTGATGTTCCTTATCTTGTATGCTTTTGGGGATATATTGCTGAGCTACTATTATAAGAATACTTTTTGCTCCTTCCGCACAGAGAGAAAGTAACAAAGTAGTTTTAAAAAAGCAAAATTTACCCAGAATCCCACCACCTGGAGTGTATCAGTCTGCGGGATTGATACCCATCCATCCTTTTATCCAGTCTCCTATCCGTCCATCCGTCCAGCTAGCCAACCCTCATTCACCAAATATTTATTGAGCATTTGCTACGCACACTCACTAGGGATAAAGTGGACATCAGATCAATTCAGGCTGATGTCCTAGCTCAGCCATTTAACTGTCACCTTGGGAAACTTACTTGCTCTCTTTGATCTGCTTTCTAATACCATAGACCAGGTAGCTTAGACAAGAGAAATTTATCCCTCACAGTTTTGGAGGGTAAGAAGTTCAAGATCAAGGTATCTGCAAGGTAAGTTTCACTCTGAGGCCTCTTTTCCTGGCTTGTAGGCAGCCGCCATCTTGCTGTGAGCTTGCATGACCTCTTCGTGTACAGCGAAAGAGGGAGCAAGCTTTCCGGTTTCTCTTCTTATAAGTGCACCAGTCCCATCATGGGGCCCCTACCTTCACGACCTCATGAGTCAGGAATGTGCTCTTCCAGCACTAACCCTAACTACCTCCTAAAGGCCCCATCTCCAAATACCATCCCACTGGGGGTTAAGGCTTCAACATAGGAATCTGGAGGGCACATAACGCAGAGCATTCCCATTGTTAACCATATTGTTGTGTGTCCCTCCAGACGTTTTCTCTGGATAGAGAGCTAGATATTGTACATATGGGAGTGGGGTGCAATGATTTCCACAAAAATAGAATTTTACTAGTGGTGTTGATTTATAAAGTTTTTTCACTCACAAAATTTTATTTTTTCCTGTCAATGAATTTTAATTCTCATCCTTAGATATATCATTACTTGTTTAATCAGTCCCATACTGGATTATTTCTAATTTTTAAAAATTAGAAAGAGCTTGAACTGAATCTTTGACAATGGACAGACATTCACTTTTCAAATGCAAATTAGAGCCACGCCCAGGAACCCAGGCTTTCACAGCAGAGTCAGCGGGATTAAGTTCTGGCCCTACCGCTTACTGATGAGGTGATCCCCAGCAAGTAATATGCCAGACACATAGTGTCAATAAATGACAGTCACTATTCTTAAGAGTGGGAATCAAAAAATATTTACAATGGCAGGGAGGCTTATAAACAGCTTCAGGTATTTAGAGAATCCAATTGATTGTTTTGTGTTATTAATTTTCTGATGATTATTTATTTTTAAGACACTGACCATTGATGTTCTTTTTCTTGAGTATTACCAAAAAGTACATCAAATGGAATTGGTAGGCAACGACCCAGAAGTGGTAGACCACACAGGGCAGGAGGAGCTTGGAGCACAGATCTTAGTAACCTTGGCTTCATCTAAGGGATATCATTCAGGCTCCACTCTCCCAGACACTGAAATGGCATGTAGCACTCATTCAGTGATAAAGCAGTGAGTTGCTAGCCATCATGCAGGGTGTAGCTTATTCTTTTGGTAAATATCAGAGGTTGCAGTGGGGGCAAAGGAGACAGTGAAGTCAAAGATATGATACCATTTCATTCAATGATCATTGTTTTCTTAAAAAAGTAAAAAAAAAAAAAAAGCCTTCTGTTTATCAAACTGTGAGCATTTAGCAATTACTAATGACAACTTGAAGTCGATACATCTTTTGACATAGTCTTGTTCATAAATACTGAGGGTAGTAACAGACTAGTAAGTGAGGCATTGGTGCAAGAGACGTCTAGAAACAAAAAATCAGCAGAGGGGCTACAGAAGGAGAGATGGTCTGCTACCACGTATGTATCTGCTTAGTCACCACCTTCTCATCTTCTTCCATTTCAGATTCAATGAGCTATTGGGGTAGGGCAGATGATTCCAAAGAACTAGCACAAGCTATAAGCAGGATGGGGAGTCAGGAGTGGTCCCTTTCAGCGCTGGACCACTAACTCACCGTGGCACCTGGAGCTTCTCTTCCTTTTCTATAAAGTGAGGGAGTTTTCTGTTACTAATAGTGACTTAAAAGTGTTCAGTACTTACTATGCAAAGTGTTCAGTACTTACTATGCAAAGCGTTCAGTACTTACTATGCAAAGCGTTCAGTACTTACTATGCAAAGTGTTCAGTACTTACTATGCAAAGCGTTCAGTACTTACTATGCAAAGCGTTCAGTACTTACTATGCAAAGCGTTCAGTGCTTACTATGCAAAGCACTACGTTATCACATTCTTACAATTCCCCTGTGAAGCCTGAAATATCATTCCTTTTACAAGTGATAGAAAGGATAAGCAACTTGTTCAAGAGTACACAGCTAGTAAAGGGTGGAGCTGGAATTCAAACCCAAACTAGCAAACTTCAGAGCCCGTGTTCCTAACTACCTTGCTGTACTACCTCCTAAGATGCTGTCCAGAGCTGGAATCCCATGACTTTTTAGCTCCGATCCCCTACCAGCTGCTGCTAAAAGTCCCAGAGTGCTTGCTAAGCCTGGACAAAGAACAAAGAATTCTTTCAAGCCACAGTTATAATGGCAACCAGGGAGCCACTGATTATGAAAGAGCTCCCAGTCTGTTCTCTCCCACTCAACAGCCTGGAATTCCCCGTCACCAACAATAGTCTGTTGATGGGACATTTCAAGCTATGAGCATAATAACCACATGGTTTGTTTCCAAAGCAAGATGGAATGCAGTACCTTTTAAAGTAACCGTGAGATTGTCAGATATTCTCCATAGCGTGTAAACGTGCATTCATACGTTCCATGTGAAGGGAAATAAGTGTTAGCTATAATAAGTTGAAGGATAGATAGATAGATAGATAGATAGATAGATAGATAGATAGATAGATAGATAGATAGACTTAATGAACACACACTTACTTTTTATAATAGGTGACAAAATTATTAAGGCTATATCAGATTTCTTCAGTCACTTAGGGAAAATAAGAGAGAAATGACTGGAATTGTAACCATACCAAAATTATATTTGCATCTATTACATTATGTTGGGTTTGGCCCAATATAATTTTAAGGGTAAAATCAAGAATATCACACATAATCATCTATAAATCTTAGAGGTACAATAGATTTTACAAATAGAGTAAGCATAAAGGTCGATCATGTCCAAGTCCTTCAGTGTAGAGATAAGGAAAATAGGCACAGGTCTTTTAGCCCTAGCAGACCCTCCCATGAGACCCAGGTCTTCTGACTCCAGTCCAGAGTCTATCCTAGCACTAATATAGAAAGCTTTCTGCCTATGAAATGGAACTACCAAAAAAAGCACTGAAATTTAACCTGAATGAACATATGCCCATTGACTGTTACGCATTTGAGTTAGTAGGAAGAGCACTTTCAAGCTGTTCCTTTGCTTTCACGCCCTCTGCTTGCAGGTGGGGTAACCAGCCACAAAGAGGAGGATGTTCATAGACTATCTAGGTTTCCCAAGAATGTCTAACATGTTTCTTCACGTTTTTTTTTTTTTTCAAAATAGGATTCTATATATATTTTTTAATCTGTAACTAATTGTCAAATTTCAAAAGATGTTATGTATCTTAAATTAGAAGGCAAAGAAAAACATTTTTAAGGGTTATGCAAGTAGGAATTGGAGAGAACAATGGATATATTAATAAAAGGCATTCTAAGGACTCACCAGCGGGATTAGGACACTAATTTGGTGAGAAGAACAATAGAAAAGGAAGAGTTAAAGCAGGTAGAAGCCTCATGGCTGAGAGTATAATATACAGCATTGTTCTCTCAGAAAAATTGAGAGGATTTGTTGGGAACACGATGT